ATCTATGATTTTGGTATCATCTTACTGGAAATTGTATCCGGCAGGCCAATCACATTAACAAGTGAAGTCCACATAATGAAAGATGAGGTGTGAACCATTATCGTCAAAGAATGTTTATAATATTTTCATTTTTTATAAATTATTTGTAATTTTCCATTAAAATTAAAAAAAATGGTAATGCATGTGGAATTGTGAAGCAATTTTTTTGAAATTAATAAGTTTGCATGCTCGAGTTTTCACCTTCACTTTTATTATTATAGTTACAAGAAAGTATTCTAGCTGACGGAGCTGCTCGGAGGAGCCTCGTGGATCATTTTATAAGAAGGCAGAGCTGTGATGAATCACTGAAGACTGTCATGGAGATCTGCCTGCGATGTCTTTCGGAGGAACCAACTCAGAGACCCTCGGTCGAAGATGTGCTTTGGAACTTGCATTTTGCTGTTCAAGTCCAAGAATCTTGGAGGTGGGACTCTCAAAGTAGTGAAGATTCACCTCTTTCACCTCGTCAGCCTCCCCGATCGCCAGTCTCACTCAATTAGCTACTATCGTGGCATAATAGTAAGTGAAAATCACAACACAAACTTGATGACTCTCTGATTCATTTAGTATTTTAATTAATGCCCATCGTGGGAGTTGATCACTCTTGTACGTATGTAACATTTAACGGGACTTTTTAAGACTAACATGTCTGTGTTCCCTCTTTTGTGAGCACTGCAGTATGGAAGCCTTATTCTGTGTTTTAAGTTATACCTAATCAATACATGACCCCATAACTTCTTTTCCCTTTTGCAACTAAAATATGACCAAATAAAGTTGGAAATTTCCTTAAAACTTACTATTTCATAAAATTATTGCTTGAGACTCTACAAGGTCACGAAAGGTGATTAATAAACCATTTGCTTTGTGGTCCATTATGAAATTCTACCTGATTTCATGATTTAAACTGCATGAAATGAGATAATAATTTCCTTCCAAGATGGACACTTTAAAAGTTCTGATTGAAGTTTCTCTTGCCAATTTGGTTGGTTCTTTGCACATAGAGGCCTTCCTTCAGATTGCTTGTGAATTGTACCATCCTCAATTGGCTGAAAAAGGAAAAAGAAAACAAGATGATTTTTCTAGGGATCTAAATACTGGTATTTTGTATTATACTGTTGCTCATGTGTCTCTTGCACAATTTACTGTGAGTACTGATTTGGTAAAAATTGGTTTCTTTGTGCAGGTTGGCTGCTTCCACGGTCGTCACCCAGCCCAAAGTAAAGACGTCTCTGTCTGGGTCTTCTATAGTTAAGAGCTGCATGCTGCAATTACCAGGAAAGGGTCAAGGATTAACGTCCACAAATTTACCCATCATGACAAAGACTGACCTGTGCTGCTAAGAAATCTGCCTATTAATCATCATTAGAAAGAACTTCAATGTTTTCACTGTCAACCAAAAGTTTCCAATTTGTTTGCGTCCGAAAAGAGAAGAAAGAACCCCACAAGATGGATGTACAAAATGCACTTCAGTATCATGTTTGTCATGCATTACATTTGTTGCTGTATGAAAGTTGTTGTTGTCCCTTCGAGTTCGTACCACGCGCGTGCGTCACGTCGACCCCGAGGTGCCTCGCGTTTCTTTCTCTGTCTGTCTGTCTGTCTGATCCAATATGAATGATCCCACCAAGTATGGCTATCCATACCCAGCTCAGGGGAGGCGCTGCAATCCTACTCTTCTACCTTTTATTCTCCTTCTGCTGTCCTTTCATGCCCTCCTTATATGTTCTTCGACTATTTCAGTTGCTGACGTCTAATTTTGTTTGGTTTCGCTGCTCTGGTGGGTGGTGCCGCAAGGCTACTACCGCCCGGCTGTGGTGGCGCCGCCTCAGTACGTCGCTCCTCCCGCGAAGTGAGCCCAGTTTCCTTGATGCATGGTGTGTCCTCGTATTCATCCACTCATATGCGTCCATGTCTAGTATTGAACAGTACGTTATTTTGACTCTCTGCAGTCTTGCTGCTCTCTGCTGTTGCTGCCTGATAGACTTGTCTTCGATCATCTTCCCACACGATTACAAGTCTGTGGCCTTAAGACTTGTCTCTACTGCTCTCTGCTGTTGCTGCCTGATAGACGTCGCCTTTTCCTTTCTCCCAAATAGATAATTTTCATCATCCAAGTCGAAAAGAAGTAGGCTTATTATTATTATTATAAATAAATAATTATTTTGACTTTAAATGTTCAAGCAAGGAGTATGAAAATGCTGCCAACACTCAATTGAGTGGTGGCACACTCCTTAAAAAAAAATTATAATATGCTTTTCAGGAAAACGAAAGGAAAATTTTAAGCAAGTAAATAAATAAACTCATCTATGTAACCTGTACAATTTAGAGTCCAAAGAATGATTCCTCATAAATTATGCATTACATGTTTCTTCTAGCCAAGCTACAGCTCTGGCTTTTAGAGGAAGTGTTATACTACCATTCATATCATGCAATTAAGCCTTGACAGAGACAATGTACAGAAAGAAATACTCAGTCTCCTTCAATCTTTATGTTGTCTCCAAGCTTTTAGAGTAAGTACTAAGTATTCAGTTCTGCTAGTTTTGTTTGACTTGAGATTTCCAAGATCCAAGCAAAGAGCATCATTAAATGGCACAATGAATGAGATGGTTATGCTCATATGCGACACAACACTCTAATCACTTACAATCCATGCCAACATCAAGAATTTAGAGTCCAAATAGCAGCTCTCTTGGAATCCTGGTCAACAAGAGTGATATCTTAGATTAGCTTTGGTGAGACCTAAAAGGCCAAAATTATATCAGATGTTTATCCATCTCAAAGTAATGAATAAAAATCGTCCGATCATGCAGAATGTAATCCCAATCTATAAATAATTAAATCAAAACTATTTGAGATATAAAAGGAAAATCGAACTAAATAGAATTATTAAGTTTATTAAGACTCAGAAACTAGACCATTTGAGATATGGCTTGAAAGAGTCTTTCTCTTCCAAGTCATACACCCTTTGTCTCTGATAAGCTGGCTCATTGATACCAAAATGCAACTCAAACATGAAGAAAAACTAAACTGGATCCGGAGATACATATTAATTAAAATTTATTGTGCCAATGACCTCTTAAATATTTTTGGGCTTCACAGATTACCTCTTTTGACGCTAAAACCTGCTAGCGGCAGCTTCGAAGTTGATGTGGATGTTGCTATTTATTTTGTCTGCAGAGAATAGAATTGAGATCAATCCTTTTTGTCAATATTGTTGTCAAAACACATCTGTTCGAGATCATAATTGATATCAAAATATGCTCTGTTGGTCTTAGTTCAATTGCTCTAATTATTAAGCTCCAAACCAAACTATAACTCATTGGCACTTCTCTTGAAAACCTTGAAGTTAAAGGAGAAAAGCAAAGTTATCACTGCAAGTTGAGAATTTCTATCACATTTGTTAAAAATCATGCTAAAAATATGAAGTATTGAGTTTATTACAAACTTATTGAAAGTATCTAAATCCCATAGTGTAAAACACGGCATCCTAACATTAGCAGCAATATTGCAAGTGTCCTAATATATTAGGATTACAACTATACAAGAAAATCCTAATAAACTATCCTGTTTAAATTAGAAATGTAGCTATTTAAGAAACTAACAATATACGGGAACACAACTTTATACAATTGAAACTTCCATATTCTACAAATTCAATTTTCAGATTTTAAAAATATAACTTTCATATATATACAAAAATTAATTCTCTAATAACTACATAAAAATGAAAAAAAATTCTCTAATTAATTGCTTTGCTTCATTTTATTGGTTCTTGTATTCTGTCAATTATCAAGCACTCACAATTTTGGATTTGGAGATATAATGACATATCATCAACCCATAAGTGCTTCTTTTAAGACATAAGTGGTTTTTCTATTTTTCCATCTTATTTTTTTTAGTGATACATTGATGTAAACAATTGACTGTTAAGTGGAAGGTTCTTCTCATTGGTGCCTTTTACTTTAGGGGGACCAAGTATATTTCTGTTTTTTTTTCAAAATTATTTCATCATCTTTGATAAGAAAATCTCTTTCTTGATGGTGGATGGCCATAATTCTACAAATTTGGGTGGCTCACCCTCCCAATTAGTGACGATAATGAGGGTCGGGAAGCAAGCAAAGGATAGTAGATGAGGCACCCACGTGTGAGGCAAAGACGCGACCGGGGTTCGTGTTGATCACTTATTTGATTGTATGTAGATTATGAATCTCCGGTATACACATATACCTTAAAGGAAAACTCCCTCATAGACAAACATATTAATACATTTCAGGATTTTGGATCAACTTCAACAGAACTACCATTCACAATTTGAAGCAGCTCAGAACCTTACAGCATGACAAACAAGCAGCATCACATCTCAATCGTAGCACTAATTCTGTTACCTTTCATATTCGTGAAGACAAACCTATGAGAATCAGTGAGGACATCATTATCTGGAGACAGTCTTCTTTTTAGTTAATTGCAGCATCACATGCAATGTTCCAAAGAAAGCAAATTAAGCAAATATTTATCAGATTCTAGCGATGATACTATCATAATAATTGTTAATTCCATATAACTGTCCATGTAGAGACTTATGCTACAGTAGTCGATGATCAACAAGCCAGACTGAAGGGGAAGACATTTTATAGCTCGACCAGATATATCATCCACACCATGGTGAGGAGAACTGAACCATAAAGCTACAACTTACATAATTCATTCGATAAATAAAATTATAAATGTTTCACACAAAAACTTACTGATTCCTCGAGATATTGACACCTTAAATGAGGCTTCAAGAGCTTCTTTATAATTTTCTTCATTTATATTACGCATATGAGCTTAAGCCCTGTATTAAAAAAAAGATAATCAAAAAGCAAAAATCTAATAATTAAAGATATGAACAGGCTACGGGTGTTCAAATCGAATAAAAAAAAAAAAGAATCGAAAATGAACATATTCAAAACCGATTGAAAGTTTCTGTAAACACCCAGCCTTCTTAAAGCTTCTTTCTCCTAAACAATACAAGTTTCCAGCCACAGACCTTGCCTTCAAGGATTGTGCCTCTTCCTCTACTTGAATTGCCAAAATCAACATAGATGGCTAGTGTTGCCCAAGTCTGACCAAGTTCAGCCAAGCCATGACGTGTCGGAATCATACACCGCATTGTAGATACTAAAACTCAGACTTGATCAGTACATCCCCATTTCTAAGAGACTCAAATAGATACCCCTCACTATCTTCTACAATTTCTTTAATCCCATTTGTAGTGAGTGTTACTTACAAATGTTGTTTAAAATCTTCAATAATTAGAACAAATGTCTTCTTTCATCTCTCTTAACTCATTTCGTCTTTGTTGGACCTCCATTATTCTGACCACCAATTGTCATCATGGCTTTCTATTGCTCTGACCGGAACCACCCCAACCCAAGGCCACCTGACCTAGACAGGGTTGGTCAATGAACCAAGGGAAATTTACTCAGAGTTACACGTGAACTGAACAACTAAATGATAATAATAATCGAGGATAAAAAAGCTCTGTAGCAGAGAAATGTGCAAATAACAGGAATGTAATAGTTCATGTTACTACAATACACTTACAAAATATGCAGCCCAATGACAAACTTCATGCTTTAATTCTGAGTCCAATTTCTTCAATAATTCTGACAGCAACTTCTGCGAAAAAAGAAGCAAGATAATTACATTAGAAAGTTTAATCCCATAGAACAAAGATAACATAGCATCTTTCACCTTCAAAATGATTTCAGGAGGGATACAGTTAACGAGAAGCTCATATATTTTTCCACGCACTGAAAATAACCTGCAAATATATAAAGAGAAAAAAATAAATAAACGGAGGATTGCCACTGTCATAGGGTGAAGAAGTATAAGCTACTGGATAGTAGTGATAGAACAATGACAACTATGCATAAAAAGAGTTCACAGAAGTGATCATATGATTGAAATTGCATAGAAACAAGGGAATCCAACCCAGCAATATCACTAACTGGTAGTTACTTGAAAATAGGCTAAATCTATCAGAATACATTCAGCCTTCAAAGAGAAAATAGATCATGATGGTTGTTGTAGGATTCATAGAACAGCTTCAAGGCTTGACTAAGTCTTTCCAGTGATTTCTTTGAACATTGGTCAAGATGGAAAAAATTTCTCGACTCCTTTATATAATTACGTAATGTTATTCTGAGTCTTGTACTACTGCTATGGCAATATAAGGGACACAAGCCCAATACTTTTCCCACAGCGACTTATGGCAGTAAAAACGACTCCAACCAAACAAGGCATCTGTAAGTTCTAAGACTAATTTCAAAACTGGCCTTCAACCTATCATAAAAAACCGTCTAAATACATGCTGAATACTGGTCCAAGCAAAGCTAGACGAGTGGATTTTATTCTAAACTACAGCTAGTTGGAGGGCAGCAAAATAAACCCTGTTGGATGCACTTTGACTTGTGAACCAGGATAGATGAATGGAAATGATAAGTATTAACTAGAAAATAATTGTCACTAGAGGCACGATAGTAACTGCATAGACACAAGCTCCGACTTCAAAAGGTTGAGAAGAACTTGTGCACTATCACAGTTCAGAAGTATTTGCCAAAGAGCAATGGAAAAAAATGAAATATGGAAGTTTTTAGCATGGCATAGGTTTATTAACATGATTTCCTTAATTTTTAACGATAAATTGGCAAAAAAGGAAAGTTGATTTCAGATTGAATCTATATGATAAGAAACTTTAAACAACTGTAATGAAAATATGTGAGACTATGTTATAAAATTAGGTCCAACAGATTGCATAGCAACATCTTAAAACAGAAATGCAGATGTAAGAAATCATGCAAGCACACTTTCTAATACAACAGGGTGAACAAAGCAGCCCGATACTATTATAATGTATCAGATCAGTGTGGTATGACTACATTTGGCAATCTACCAATCTGTACGATCCAGCTTCATTGAAAAAAATTAAAAAAAATGAATACCAATCACCAAGCTATATCATCTGATTATGGTCCCTAGTTGGACTAGTAGATACTGGTCACCACACATTGATCCAATTAGTATTAAGAACCTGAGGAGACTTTAGGCCTTGAGAAAGCATTCTGATAATTATTGAAACAAATAACATACAAATTTGTTCAGCCATAATAATTTAATACTTTTTTCATGTTTTCAAGTGAGCTAAGTAATCTATGTAATTTATCTATTTTCTCCTTGTTGTTCCTTGTTCAAAAGTGTAATTATTTGTATATTACTACTACATAATTGCTCTTTTTAGCATTAGTTGGTTTGAAGCTTGGTTTGCAATATCGTACTATACCGCTTGGTACGGGCGGTACATACCGATCTGATAGAGGACCAATAGAGGCGGGTACATCGGAACACCTTAGTATACCATATGTTGGTATGCTCAATACAGCTCGGTACATACTATACCGACAACTGATCGATATATCGATACGGTACGATATTCAGAACCTTGGTTTTAAGGGAAAAAATTGATAGGCTAGCATAATCATGTCATGGAGATATATTTGCATACATAATATTCTGATGAGCAATGAGCCAAATTTCTAGGGCTAGAACAAAATAGTTCTTGTTGTATTCATCCTATTAATTTCAGTAGGCACTGAATTATATCATTCATAAAGTAGAGAACCTATGAAGTATATTTCTACACAAAAAATGGAAAGAGGAGTCTATAACGAGATGCTAATGAAAAGAACAAGTGATTTAAAAAGCGCTAGGCGCCAAAAGACGCCAAGGTCCAAAAACGCCTGAGGCGCTAGGCGCTCTT